TTGTGGTTTACTTTTTGGGTATGAAGAGCTGGTTCGTCTAAGCTTCTGGTTCTCTCTTTTGATTTTATATTTTCATGGCCGGCTTGATTTTGTTTTCAGGAGTTCCGCGGTGGCCCAATTCCAATGTGGGTCAGAAGTTTTCAGACTTTCTCCTTAGGTCTGGAATCTTCTAAGAATGATTTTGGCCTCAGGAACTTGCGTGTTGGACTGACCTGAGATCCTGGCCGTGGCCGCGCCACGCAGGCATGCAAAGGCAGATGGGGTGGGAAGAAGCCCCAAGATTTCCCAGGGAGTGGATTGAGTAGCTGGATTGTACTTGATGCAAAGGATCAGGGAAAGGAAAGGTAAGCCTCGGAGCCCCAGAAAGTGGCTGTCAGCCCCAGCAAGAGGCTGCAGGTGTTGCAGAACCAGGGAAGTAGAGGGAGGTGAGGGCGGGGCCAGGTCTAGAAGCGGTGCTCCTGGGGCCCAAGAAAGGCGTTCAGTTGGTCTGGGTGAGAAGGATCAGGGAGCAGTATTGGTTCCCCAGGTGTCTGGGGCCCCAAGACTAGGAATGGCGCAGGTCCCTAACTGGGAGTAGGGAACAGCCGGGGAGATGGAAGGGTGAATGTGGCTTGGGGATTCAAGGCGCAGAGGGCTGCGCTATAGACTTACCCCAAGAGGGCTGAGGATAGGACTGCAGGCTAGAAGAGTTAGCAGGTGGTGCAGGTCCCTGGACTCAGAGAGAGGTGAGGGCGGGGCCAGGACCAGAAGTGGTGCTCCTGGGGCCAAGAAAGGCACTCAGTTGGTCTGGGTGAGAAGGATCAGGAAGCAGTATTGGGTCCCCAGGTGTCTTGGGCCCCAAGACTAGGAATGGCGCAGGTCCCTAACTGGGAGTAGTGAACAGCGGGGGAGATGGAAGGGTGAATGTGGCTTGGGGATTCAAGGCGCAGAGGGCTGCGCTATAGACTTACCCCAAGAGGGCTTAGGATAGGACTGCCAGACGTAACTACTTTTTATTTTGTGGTATGAAAGCACCTGTAGTGGGAAAGAGAAGCTGGAAATTTAGCCACAAGTATTCTGTGATGGGAAGTTCAGCCACAGAGAAAAAGACCAATCAAGAAGTTCATCTGGGTGCCTCACCTTCTCCAGTCAGTCTCCCCTGAATGCAGAGAGTACTCAATTTGATGATCTTTCTCTTTGTTGCTTTGTTTTTTCTTGGGTGTCTCACCCTTAGGGGACACTGTTCTGCTCAGGATTCTCTCAGTTAGGAACTCCAACTGGTTACCTTAAAGGGGCTTCCTCAGTTTATTTCTGCTAAATATCTGTAAGCCACTGATTTGATGATGTTACCTTTCTTCTATTATTTCTTCTTTTACTTGGAATCTTCATCTGGGCAAACACTCTGCTCTGCTCAGGACTCTACTGGGAACACTAGCTGACACCCTTAATAGGGTTTTCTCATTGCTCCTCCTGGATGTTTCGAGTGTTCAGTTTAAGAATGTTTTGAGAGAGAAGGAGAGAGAGAGAGAGAGAGAGAGAGAGAGAGAGAGAGAGATTAAACTCAGTAATTCAAAACCAAATGTATGACTATGTTAGTTCACTTTCTGAACCATATAAAATATACACCCGCTTTTGAAGTTAACTATAATCATTTGATATCAGAGTAAGAAATGTGACTTTATGATCCATTAATAAACATTTTTTGCCAACATTAAGTGAATAAATTATTTAGGTGGCAAGAGAATTAAAAATGTTATCATTGTATGAACAAAATAAAAGTATTTAGGGTTCATCAGAGTGGTTTCATATATGTGAGAATGTTAAAGTTATTGATCTCATTCTATTATCCAAACGTTCTTTACCCATTTACTTTCAGAACCTGAATAGTAATAAAGATGAATGAATTATACATTAAATTAGTTCTGAATAAAAGAAATCAAACTCATGCCTGAAGTTGGTCTCCAAAATAAAATATCTTAAAGCATTTCTGTTTTTTTTTTTTTTTTAACTTGGTGCACATCATTGCTTCTTTCCTTTTTTGTACTGTTTTCTGTTGTAGATGGAAGCAAGCTATGAAGGCAGTCTGAGTTCTTGAATCCTTTGGTGATAAGTGCACCTAAGCATCTCCTGGCACTTCCATGTAGATCAGTCTTTCAGTTATCAGACAACCTGGCATGTGTTCCTGGCAAAGAAGAAATAAAGTCCTCAAAGCAAATTCATTTAGTTCAGTAACCATTAACTGATCATTTTTGTACTTGTAACAGAATAGAAGTTGCTATGAGAGGTTTCAAGGGACCTAGAAAATTCAATCAGAAAAGGTGGGGAAGGCTTAATGAAGAAAACTATTTGTCTAAAGTCAAGATAAACTAGTTTAGCTAGAAATGAAGTATATAGTGGGAATCATTTCTTCCGAGTGCTTCATAACAAACTCTGGCTGATAATTGAAATTAACAAGACCACAGGAAAAGAAATGTGTAAAAGCTTAAATTCAAAGAGAGCATATCATGCCAATGAGCAACAAGTGTCACAAAATGCAACAAATAATAATAAAAGGTTTGTTGCAAATGGAAAAAGCCATTTAACATATTTACTTCATGTAGGCATGCACGTTTGTACTTAAACAAATTTAACGTCAGATTTCTAAACCATTTAGATTTATACACGTAGGAAATTGTTACTAAATTGTGCATTTTGAAGTGAAGTGATGTAACATGAGAAATAGGAGCAAAATTAATAAGAATTAAATCACTCCATGCCAAATAATATAATAGATGTTACATATTTCACTAGTACCTTTAACACAGGAAAAATATAATGAATCCCTTCAAAACAAGAATCAAAATACAATTTGAAAATTTTTCATGAAATAGATCATAGGTTCTAAAAGACTGACCTATCCTGATGCTGTAATTCATGGTGCCATATGAATATAAATCTGAAAGTGTTACAATTTACTCATGTGCAATTGCTAGCTTTTCAGCTTCTCTGAAGGTATTCCCTGAAATATGAAAGACATTACTTGGTAGAATGCTTTGACACTACTTTGAGAATGAAAAATATTTGAGAAAACAAGCTGTTCTTTCTTTCAGTTCATGTACCATAACTGTGTTTGTATTATTATTGTCATTGTTTTTCAGCTCCTCTGACTGATAAGCCACCCAAGCTTCTATACCCAGTGGAAAGTAAACTGACAATTCAGGAGACTCAACTGGGTGAGTAACTCTTTAATTCTAGTCAATGCACTTTCCCCCCAATATATTCTAATAGTTTAAAAAAGCCTAAATTATAGCCATGCTATAATCTGACCTATAAACTCTATTTCCGGAAATATGTCCTACACAACCAAACTGGATATTTAATATTTAAATGATTGTTAAGAAATAAGATAAGATGACTATTTTTATGATTCCATTATTGTCCCATGATATAATGAATTAGTGTTAAAGCAGAAAATATAGAAATATTTAACATATAATATCCCTTAATACACTAAAATACAGTTTTTGAAATTGAGGAAAAGGTGCAAATTCATCGAAACAAATGTCAACATTATGATAAGTACCTCTGTATAACAGGTAATCCAGATCTGAGGTGTATCTTAGTGGTAGACTATTTACTTAACTTGTGAAAGGCCTTAAGGTTGCTCTACAGCATTGTATATTGCTCTTTTGTAAGTATAATACTGAATTCTCAAGAGTGATCATGTTTTCATACACCTTTCAATAAGTTCTAAGAGTATGCATTTCTAAGGAGTTGGGTAAAACTTTAAACATGATCGGCCAAGACGAAAGGAGTTTATGGTAGAAGTTAATTCTAATGAATATACCAGAAATGAAATGGATATTATGCTAACTATGTTTTGCATAATACATTACCAAAATATGAGCAATTGCCTCTGATTGAGAGCTTGTACATTTAGATATGAGGTCATAGACAAAATACACTTCACTATAAATATTAGATTAAAAATTATAATGGCAATATATTTATTTATTTTTTTATGTGTATGCGTGTATTGCCTGCATGTAAGTGTACCCGTGTTGTGCAATTCCCACGGAGGTCAGAAGAGGCTGTCGGATCCTCTGGGACTGGAGTTATGGACAGTTGTTAGCTGCCATGTGGGTGCTGGGATTCGAATCTGGGTCTTCTGCAAGAACAACCAGTGTTCTTAGCCACTGAGCCATCTCTCCAGCCCATATATTTATTTTGGAGGAATTATAGAATTTTGGTCTGAATTAGGAATATTCAGTTATATACCATTTCAGAAACTTCTCTAAAAAACACATACAATACTTTGTATTATAGTCTCTTATCCTTCATTTCAAATATTTTAGTCACATAAGTAGATTGACAGACAGATACACAACAAATTTCTGTAGAAATTTATTTGCTTTTAATGGTTTTACTAATAAAAAACATATTTACTAGATTAAAAAAATCAAACATATTCTAACAATACATTCATATTGTTAAGGGACTTTCAAGAATGAAAATGCATTTAATTCTTACAACTAAAAAGAACCAAGAGTTCATCTTTTCAGGTATTAATGCTACTAATCTTTCCTAAGTGTGAATTTGGATGCGTATCGTGCATCGGTTTTCTAAACAAAGATTGCCGATATGACGGACATTTATTAATAACATAAATATGTTATACTGCAAAAGATGTGATACTGGTCTGGAAATCTATGGCTTTCTAACACTAGCAATGTTTATGCTTACTAGCTTTGAAGTATAATGAAATACAGGTTTTATACAGGTATGGATGTGAATACAGTACTCTGATATTGAATGTGAGCCTTTTCACTCAATATTAAGTAGTATCATTGTTATTTTGAGATGGAAGACTAGATAGCAATAGAATAATTTCATACAAAAACAACAAAATATACTAAAATCATATCTATCTCTTTGCTCATGTTATTGTATGTTTTCTCTACTATAATTTACTACAATTTTAGAAATACTTCTTGAAATATAAATTCTCATGAATGTCCACGCCACCTTACAATAACTTCTAGGAACAAGTTACATAAAAGTCTTGAACCAAGAAGGAGAGTTTATGGTATTGGTTAGAGGTAAAGAACATAGCAAATGAAATCCTTAATTGTTTTATTGAATGTATTTTCCAGGTAACATAATTAGTAGCAATTTATGGTTAATGCTTTCCCATTTGTTTTTGGTATTATTCATAATTTGGAATGAATCAAATTGGTCTTTACCTCTTACATTTTATAAAATGGAGCAGTTTGTAAAGGTGCTTTTCTTAAGATTACGTTTTCTTAAATGGAGTCATAAAATATAACCACATCAAATTGACATGAAAAGGTCCTATGCAAAGTGGTAAGTGATACATTTGTCTATGCATTCATTTAAAGAAAGACTCCAATAACAGCGAGCCCCATTATTGTCACTGAGCAAAGACAGGTGAATTTTCTTTAACTGCCAATTGAAATAAAAATATCAATCTGGAATTTGATTATGTTATACAATGTTTGTTTTTGTATTATTTTCTAATTCCAATTTCCAGTGCATAATCATGCACTAAATAGAGTAATACTACCCTAAACCCTTGGCTATTTGAGTGACTGTTTATTTGATAAAACTATCTTGCTGCTGTTGCTAATGGGTGAAAAAGAGACCAAAAGTCATATGCATGGTGCATTCTTGTGTTCTCAGCATTTAGGAGATGGAAGCAGAAGGTCTGTGAAATCTAGGCACTTCTGGACTACATAGTACGTTCCAGGTATCTTGGGCAAGTTGAGACCCTGACTGAAAAATATATAGATATATATATACATATGTGAAAATAGAAATGAGTATCAAAGAAAGACTCAAGATGCCTAAAAAACATTTGCTTTCTAAAATTTATACTTTTATTTATTTAAAGATTTGAATTTTGCCCTTTGTAGATTAGAAAAAACTGTCACTCCCAACAGACTAGACATCTGACTTTCAAATCCTAAGAAAAAGGGTTTCACTGAAGAGTCATTAAGTGGTAGTAAGAGAGTGGATAGCCTGCATCAGTGATGAGAGACTGATAAGGGGTGTCTCCTCTTAAAAGAAGCTGTGGAATCTCCACGAATACTTCATTAGCCGTGAATTCAGAGCTCAGTCTCAAATTATTTCTAAACTGAAAGTTGACCTTTCCTCAGGTCAATTGTTAACAATTCTGTAGCCACAGCTGGCCTGGAACTCAATATGAAGACCAGGCTGGCCTTGATCGCCTCTCAAGTACTGGGATTAAAAGCGTGTGCTACCACGCCTGGCTTTGATGATCAAAGTTTAATATGTTTGCTGAAATACATACACAACCAATCAGCTCTGGTAGCTATAATTTTTAACTTTTCTACAAATAATAAAAAATGTAATAATAAACATGTGCTGGGGAGAGAGAACTCAGTGGATACAAGGTCTCGCTGAGCAAGCACGACATTCAGGTTTGAAATCCTCAGTGCTCACATAAAAAACAAGGTGTGGCTATGTACGGGCCAGTAACTGCAGTGCTATCCAAGGGCTATGAAGCAGACAGAGGAAGATGATTGGGCCTTGATGGAAGCCAGCTTATCTCCATGTTCAATGAGAGTCCATGTCTCAGGGGAACAAGGCAAAAGTGATAGAGCAGGGCACCTGATAGCCTCCTCTGGCCTCCGCACAAAATAGCATGGGCTCTAGCAATCACACACACACACACACACACACACACACACACACACACACACATGCATGCAAAATGGCACACAGAGAATACAACAATAATAATAACAATAATAATAATCTTTAAAAAACTACAAGATTCATAGGTTTTCCCTTCACACTCACTTCTCGGTGCTATGCACTGGGCATGCCTGCCTTTTCTTTTCTATATCCTCTCTGCCTTGTTCTAAGTTCTTCATCTTCTTAAACTGGAAGTGTCTGATACTGATTATTGAAACTATTTCACCACAGAAACCAAAGGCACTCACGACCAAAATACTTGGAGAAAATAATGTAATGATAAGCAAATTCATATAAAATATGTAAAATGAATTTGAATTGTAATCAATATGTGGCGTCGGCTCTACTTCATGTGGCATCTGTATGCTATTTCTACAAGTGAAAAAAAAAATCATTGTCTCTTTTAAATAACTCAGACACCAGCTTTTAAATAACTCAGACTCCAACTTTCTTGGGCAAAAAGCTCAGAAGTCATACTGTGAAACTCTGAAGGTCAATTCTCGAGGTAAACCTGACTGGGTTCCTTCAGTCTGTTGTTAGGCCAAGGAATCAAAAGATTGGCACAGTTGACTTGCTGAACTTGGGCTGTGTCATTCAGAGATCTGCTATACCTGTGTTGCCAAGAACCCACTTTCAGAAGCTTTCAGAACAAAGTATAGCTTATTCTATTGCTACCAAACGTTCAATGAGTAGAAATCTACCTTAGCACTGACCTATTATGACACATTATATGTACAACTCAAATATTACTACTACAAAAGGCCTACATCTCCAATTTTTCTACAACATAATGTAGTGGGGACCCAGAGCTGTAGAATCCTCCAAGGAGTGCTTTGAATTCCCCAGATGTTACTATCTAGAAGAAAGTGCTTAACAATATAAAAACTTAGATTTGTGCATAAATCTGGGTAAATGGACACAGACACGCACACATACACACACACATTTTTATAACTTTAGTTTATTGAACTACAGGCTAATTTTTTAAATGTCACACCAAAAAATAGTTGGTGTTGCGTGCAATATTTAAAATTTTACGTAAATTCATCAAAAGTGGTCAAACACTACATAGAACATCCAGGTTGATGTTTCTGTAGGAAAATTCCTTGCCGTGGAAATTACATATTAATTTATTATGTTGTTAAAGGAATTAACTGTTGAAATATATTCTACTTCTATGTTTTATAAATTGTAGATATGTTAATAAATATATATGGCTTATGGAATGTATTTCAAGCACATAATAGAGATTTGAATGCAATGAAACCTTGTAAAAATTATCTTAGTGCAAAGTATTTTGTAATGCTGGATCCCTAGGTAGATATTTTCATAGCTGTTATTGTCTTGAAATAAAGCATAACTTTATGAAATTTTAGTACTTTATTGTGACACACATGTGGGAAACGTTTCTTTTCCAGAGTTAGGGAATATTTAATATCAGTGCTTCAGAAACAAAATCATTCAGGTATTAAATTTGGTATCCAGATCTGAAAAG